TTTGTTTTAACCCTAGACTTTTTATAATTACACTTTTTCCTATTTTTAACTATAAATACCCCTTCATTCTTTCATTCTTTTTACAAAATCAATATCAATCTATCACAATCTCTCTTTAATTTTCTTCTATACTTGCTACTATTTGCTTTACTTTATTCCAAAAAATAGTCAAAAAATATTGAGGTTGTTACCATTTGTGAAAAAAAAATTGAAGTTGGTGAATTGAAGTCTTCAAGTCTTCGATGATAATCAATTTTCAACAAGTTGTTCGTCAATTTGGTAAACTCGTTCCAACTCTTAAGTCTTAATATTATAGTTTTGTTTGTTTGTTTTATTTATTTACTATTACTTGATTTATTAAGATGTCTTCATTAAGGAATATTTTTGGTAAAAATAAGAATAAGGGAAAATCCAAGACCGGCGAATCTAGTGGTACTTCTGTACCTCATCCCCTGCCCCCGGCTCCCCGAACCAAATCCCATATCCGTCCTACACCTGTTATTTTTGATACCGATAATAGTTTATTACAATTTATCGAGAGTCAATTTTGCCATAATAACTCGGTGAACATTTAGACCATGACTTAATGAATGCTCTCTATTCTAATAATTATAATACTATTGATGAAAACGATGATGAGGAAATTGATCTTGATGAAACTCACCCGGATGATGATACACCCACTAGTCCTGCTCCTGATGTTAACCCAACTAGTGATAACGCTGCTAATCCAAAGGATGACTCATCTGATACTCCTCTTATTGCCCCTTTTTCTAGACAACCTACCAAACGGCAGGAAACGTCTCCTGTTTGGCCATTTTTTACTCAACTAGTTCCACAAAATAAGGCTAAGTGTAAAACTTGTGATATGGAGTTAGCTTTTAAATATTTTTTGGGGGGGAAGGGGGAACTTTGACTGGACACATAAAAAAATACCCTAAAGATAACGTCAGATATCAACGTCTGAAAGCTTTGGCCGAGGGGAAAGTGTACCTAGTCCTAGTTAGGCTGACCCTAGTACCGGTTCAAATCAATTTCAACCGGAAATTAACACTATTACCGGTGGTATTTTATATTATAATCAAAAGAAAGATTGGAAAAAATTGGCAAAAATGGTAACTGTTACGTGCTTACCCTATAGTTTTCCTTCTGACCCTTCGTTTGTGCGTTATATTAGAATTTTTTTTTAATCCTATTTATAAAGGTTTTCCTCGCACAACTGTAAAGAGCGATATATATATAAATATAAGTATGAATATGAATAATATTTGCGCTATTTATTTACTCATATAAATTGTCGTGTTGCTATTGGTAGAAGTGGCAACGACTGTGATTACCTTACTGTTACCAGTCATTGGATTGATGAGGATTGGATAATGCAAAATCGCATAATTGCTTATAGAATAATTGCTTCACGTTACACAGTGCAGTTTATTGCTAGCACAATTACGGATATTTGCAGATATTTTTGCAGTAGTGATAAAATAATATCAGTTTCAATGGATAATGCTACTAATAACACAAATGCTATAGACTTGCTTACCACTATGCTAAATCTTGCATTTAGTAACATTTTTCATGTTAGATGTATTTGTCATATTTATCATTTAATTGTGGGTGATGGTATGAGATTTTTAAATATTCAAATTAAAAAGGTTAAAATGGCTCTTAACTAGCTTTTTCATTCAAACCGTATAAGTAGACTTAGAGAATATTTTAAAAGATGTGATGAATGTGGCCTAAGAGAAAGAAAGGTTCCTAAACCTTGTCCAACTAGATGGAGTTACATGTATGAAAGTTTGGCTGTTGCAGATGAATATGGGAATCCCATAAACTCAACGTCTAATGCACATGTAATTGATGATGATGATTACCTTACGAATGGGGATTGGGCTAATGTTAAAATGCTTGTTGATTTTTTAGAAAAAATTCATATTGCTACAAATAAATTTTCTGGGCAATATTACTATTTCTAACTGTTTAGTTTATATTGCAGAACTTGCAAATTTGTTCCCTCCATTTTCAGAGGTGGAAAAATTTATCAACTTGCTATTGATTCTATGAGAAAAAAGCTTAAAAAATATTTCTTTCCTATTCCCCCTATTTATGGTGTTGCTGCTTTGTTAAATCCTTGTATGAAATTAGGAGGTCCTCAATTTTGGTATGAAACTATTTATAATGGTTTGGCACTTGAAGATGGTGAGTTGCCTAAACTTCCGTAAGCAATAGCCTCAATTAGAATAAATGCTCAAACTATTTATAATGCTTATCAAGTTACATTAAATCATGCTAGACCAAATGTTCCAACTCCTTCTTCTTGTGATTCTCAATCTTTTGAGAGAACTTCGAGAGTAAGAGGACTTAGTGCTTGGGCGGGGTTTAGTTTTTTTTTTTGTTCTAATAGTAATGATTTTTCACAATTAAATGATCTTGAAGTTTATTTGTCGCAACAACTTGAGGAAGTGAATCCCGACGGCTTGTTTAATATTTTACGATGGTGGAAGGACAAAGAAAAATACTTTCTTGTTCTTTCAAGGATGACCCATGATATTTTAACTATTCAAGCTTCAACAGTGGCATCGGAGAGCGCTTTCAGTCAAACAAGACTTCAAATAGGTGATTATATAGCGTCTATGAGGGAGAGCTTGTAAAAATCAGTACTTTTAAGAGATTGGATCCGTTTGGAAAGAAGAAATTTTGGACTTGCTAAATCACAACCAGAGGAAGACGAAGCTTACGAAGAAATGCTAGCTGAACTTGCTGAGGATGTTGTTTTGCCCGACAATGGAAGCGGCGACGACCAAGCTACTTTCTGCTACTACCAACGAAAATTCCTCCCGAACCTTGAAGGATTTATGAAGTTTGTAAGAGATAGAATGTAACTTGTATGAACAAAAATTAGTATGTATTATGTAACTTGTATTTTGGCACATCTTGAATAGTTTTTTTTTCTTTTCAATGGTGGTATTAGCACCTTGTTGTGCTCATTCCATAGGGGGAGAGAGACTAAGAAAGATATTGCCATTTTTTTAATGCTATAATAAAATTACAAGGCATTGCTTTAAATATTTTTTTACAATATTTTTGTCTTTAAATTTGAATTTAAAAAAAAATAGGCCACAATTCTATAATAAATTTACAAGGCATTGTCTTAGATATTTTTTAACATCTTTTTATCTCTAATTTCTATTTAATTTTTAAAAAACTGATTATTTAGCCGTTGGGACCGTTTAGCCCGGGACCATGAGTTCGTGGGCCCGGTCCCGGGCCGGTTCCTACAAAAAAGACCGTTTAGCCCGGGACCGCTAAGCCCGTTTATTTAAGGACCGTGATCGGTCCCGGACTACGGCCCACGAGACCGGCCCACTTGCCTCCCCTAATATACTATATTAAAAGCACGAATGCCCTTAGTGAAATGTCGTTCGCCTTTTTTACCCTCTAAAATTAAATTTTATATTGGATAAAATTATAATTTAAGTTATTTTCCTAATATTAGGGCATTTAAATCACCTAAAATTTTGGTCATTAAAATATTTCCTCACTGAACTAAGTAAGAAAGTCCTAATTTTTAGCTTTCACCATAACATGTTAATTAAATAAGAAAACGTGCTCATGGGTTACGTTTGTTGAAAATTTTCTACAACTTACTTTTATTGATTTAATAGTTATTTAATTATTATTTGAATTTAAGTGCTTAAAATTAATTAAAATTTTGCTTATTAATTTATTTTCTTATTGGAACCATGTAGAAAGTTATAATATTTAGAGATTATTAAAATATCACTTCATATAGGTTTTGCATGTAAATTCTATATAAATAATTAAAAAATAGATAAAAGAAGAATAAAAAGATTTAAGAAAGAAGAGGTACTATGGGTTCTTGGATATAACGTAGATAGTTTCACTTCATAAAAATATACAAGACTACTGTACCAATATTCTTATTCAATATTATACTT